ATGCATGAAAGTTCTTGTACCTATCAATCATGGTTTGAATATATTGATTTTATGGATTTCTACTTGCCTAACACAATCTTTGGATAAAGTATGGAAAAAATAAAGATTGAAAGAAATATGATCTATTTGAAAGTTATATCTTTCTAACCATGATAATTCTAAAATAATTAGATTAGAAGAAGATCTAATTACATTAAATATTAATAAAATATTATGACTACTAGTTGCTACTTCTATAGGAATAGTTTTATGTATAACATCCTTAGAAGATAATAAATGACCATCTATTATTTCTACATGCATAGATTTGATTTTCTTAACTATAAATATCTCTTATTTTTTGACAAATTCTTTGTCTATAAAATAGGCTGAGGCTCTTAAATTCAACAAAGCTAAGACTTTGTGATTTTTTATCTTAAACAAACTTCTATTATAAAACAAGGTGATAGATTTGAAGAGAAAATAGGACCTTTATTAGGAGTAGTATGAGATTTCAATTGCATAGTTTCTATTGTAATTAGAGAGACTTATTTTTTGACATATTGTCTTCTTTGGCAAATATGCTCCTTATTTTGTGATTATATTATTTCTTTGAATAATGTTGAACAATATGCTTGGATTTTCCATAATATAGTCACAAATCTTTTTAATAACAATGGAGTCTTTACTTGCTCAGTAAGTGATTTAAAATGTACCATATCAATTTGCATTGGTTCTGGCCTTGATAAATAAAATTCAAAAAACTTAAGAATTGCAAATATTACTTGACTTATTACTCTCCAACCAAATCTTTGTTCATAATGTCTTTCAAATAATTGATTGTGGCATGCAATGGCTTGAGCAATAAATTGTTCTAAAGATTTTACTTTTGACATTGTCAATAATAAATCTTTAATGTTGTCCTTCAATCTATATCAAAATTGATTGATAAAAGCTTTGTCATTCCAATCTACATCGCAAGTGAGGTTTTGGAATTCAGCAATATATATGGAGGCTAATTTTCATTCTTATTGTTGTTGTATTACGTGTCATCTTGTTTGGGAATGCATCGAACATCTAGCTGTGGAAGGTGGAATTGGATTTTATGAGTATCCAAAAATCCTAATATGTTTCATCCTAATAAGAAGAATATAATTTTAATTTTAATTCAAAAGAACTTAAATCCAATACAAAGTACTCGAAAGCACTCTTCTTAGTAATCTCAATCATACATAAACTCCAATTGCCTTATTACTTACCTAATTAGGCAATTTTAAATTTTCTTTGTAAACATTAATCCTAATTAATAAGTTTTAGTAAGATGTAGCTCTTAATCTAACTATCCACTTAGACCAAAAAATATTCACAAAAATTCCACTATAAATCTTTTATATAGTTAAAAAAAAATTCACTCCAATTCAACTTACAGATCATGAAAAAATACCCAAAAACCACACTGATATTACTTTGCTGCCAACTTGAAAGTTGATACAAATGTTCCTATAGTAATTTTTCATTTTTGAATTATTAACTTCAACTCAAAATTGGTGTGTAGCTTGATCTTCAAGTCTTCTAACATCATGCCAAATTTCACTTTGTTTCAACAAGTAAATCTTTAGATATCACAAAAATCCTATCCAACTCCAAACTGCCAACTTTTGATCCCTTCTTGTACCAAAATCTTGATATCTTTCAACTGCACTATTAGATTTTTACAAATGTTCACATACACTTAGTACATCTAATTAAACAAGTATTGTCAAATTTTAAACTATGGATGTGACACCAATTTCACAAACTAATCGAGAGTGCTAGCCCTAATTGTATTACATAAATTCTAAGTTACTAATATAATCCTTGAATTTGAACAATAATTGTTAAGTTCCAAAAAATCCTACAAAAACAAGCTTTATGTCTTTGAAACAAGCTCTAAGCTAGTTCTTGAATTCTAATTGCCAATCTTTGAATGAAATCCTATTTTGCCTTAGGTCATCATTTTAATGGCTAGAGGTTTGATTTTGACCTTGTTTCACAAATAGTTGATCTCCGGATATCAAATCTATCCTAGGGATTTTTTAGCCCAAGCCTACCTTCAACATAATCTTAGCATCAACCATGTTAATCTCTTCTAATCTGATTTTATCAATTTATGGTCTTTCTAAGGTAGTAAAAGAGTCTTTATAGCCTAGAAGGTAAAATTACTAACCAACCTTTAACCTACTAACTACTAAGACAAGAAAATAAACTAAGAGGCTTTTATAAAAGCCATGTTTAAATATCTTGATTTATTATTGAACCAAGATAATTAGATATTAATTAAAATTTTATTTTTTATTATATTTTTACCATATAATTGTATTATATCACGACATCATGAAGATAAGAGTTTAGTCTTTGTTACTCTTTTTTGATCAGTTTCTTTGAATGTGGTTGTAAATACTTTTAGAAATGAATTCAAATCATAAAAGAATTGTGAATCTTTTTCCATCAGAGATGCAAATCAAGAGAGAGCACTTCCAAATAGAACTGCACCCATGAATCCAACTTGAGTAAATCCATCACTGTATTGGAAGGGATGTAATCTTGGATAGAGCTTGACTTATTACAAAAATCCTTGAAATTTTGATCTTGTTCCATCAAACTTCTTAGGCATATTAATCTTTGTCTCCATTGTACTTATTAAAGGAAAACTTCCTAGATTTATTTGTGAGGTTGATCTATTTGCTTCCTTCAACTGCACAACTTCTTAATGCAGACTCTAAATTGCTTCTATAGGCATAGAATTAATATTTCATTGGTTGATGTTGGTCATGTGTGGAATTTCTATCTTGAGAGTGTTGACAAGTTTGTAAAGATTTGCAATAGTAGCAAATCTATTCTCACTTCTGCCAAGTGTAGCATCTATAATTTTTTCTTTCATTTCAAATAACTTGATAAATCCACAAATCAAATTAGAGGAGGATAATCTGCAACCTCTAATACAAATGAAAATTTTCACAAAGAAGGATAATCTTTTGTCTTTAAAAAAATAAATAATATTAGAAAACTAAACAATTTGTTTAAAGGTGGATAATCCACAACCTTCAAAATACAACAATAGAAGTAAGATAATCTACTTACTTCTAAAACAAGACAAAAACAATAAATTAATACTCTTATTAAATTATCAAGGACATGAAATTTACGGAATTAAAATGTCAATATACTCTTGTGTCACTTAAAAAGGCTAAAAAAAATCACTCAAAAATGATATAGTATTAAACTAGAATGCCTATTGCTAAAGACAAGAAGACTAAAAAGTCTTGAGACAAGACTAAAGACTAAAAAGACATTGACAAGAATGAAGAAGACTTCACTCTTGCCTCTATATATATATATATATATATAACTAAAATCTATGTAGTAATGTCCTATTGGACCTCCTAAACGTATTGACTTTGCAAGACACTTATCTTAATTTGTAAGTCAATTTTTTTTATATGTGCACCATATAGTTAGCTTATTCCACAAGCTATCAATACATAGTTATCTTATTGACCAAGTTTCTAACCTACCAATCAATTACAAACACATGTAAAGTCAAAGTAACATCTATGTAGCTTCTGGGAAGCTTCTCTAGAAAATGTTATGAAATAAATCTATTTTTACCTACTTCTATTTATAAACTTTATTTTATTTTTTAAAATCCAAAACTACTAAATACATCTTTGACTTTAAAAAGCTCTTAAAAACTCAATGTGCTTTCAAATCACATGAAATTAACTCCTAAAAAATCTTTATAAGTCTTCTTTCAATGTCTACTCTCCAATCATCTAAAGAATCTCGAAATTATCATTGGTGTGCAGTTTTGTGCTTAAAGATCTAATTCTGACCTTGATTCACAACCACTCCTATCTAGGTATCAATTCTTGGTATTTTGAGGTAATTTTTGCTAAACCCTATTCTTAATTCTCGCCTAAAAATCCCTATATCAATCAATTATCTCATCTACTTTGATTTGGCTCATCTATGGCCCTATATATATATGTTATAATGAAATATAATCAAAAGCTGTAAATAGAACCATATTAAAGAAAGCCTTTGATGAAGTTTTGTATGATAAAAGATTACTCTATATCTTGTCTTGTTATAAATACTTTTCAAAAAATTATTAAAAGTGTTTAAATTTAAATATAAATTTTTGCATGAGCACAAGAAAAAACTTTGTATTCATATTCATCAAAAGTTTTAACTACAATGACAACACATAATATTACAAATTAATCTTATTTCTAGAATAAAACATTAATAAATAAATATAGAAAGAAAAGGAAAAAAAAAACACCAACAATATTTTTAATTTCATTTTCAAAAAAGCAAGATCAATACTACATGTCAAATTATATTTTTTATCATGAGAATTTCAAATTGATTGAGACGTTTAAATTTAATGGACAGTGAATATGAGTTTGCTTGCATTGTAATTATTCTTTTGCACAGGTATGTAATGGCATCTGAGATATTTTGAATATTTTTAAGCTATAAAGTTAAGATGAAAACATTGGAGTTGCCTTAGCTTGGTTAAAGTTTTGGAGGACAATAGTAGTACTGTAAATCCTTAACTTTAAAACTCTTGGTTATTTCCAGCTACATATGAAATCCAAAATATCGAATTTGTCAAAACAAATATACATGACAACGTTTTATTTACATTCGAGTTTTTTTTAAATTATCTAAATATTAATAGCTATTCAATTGCTTGTAAATTTATACACATATATTATAATTGAAATCTCTACTATTATAAAATCAAAAGCCTTCCCAGAAAATTGATTAAAAGTCAGTAAAAAGAAATATGAATGGAATGCATATAAATTCGTTTCCATCCATGCAATAGACGAAACATGTCCAAAAGCACTAATAAGTGAACTTTTCTACTAAAAAAGACTTTTCACATGATTTTCCATGAGGTAATTGAATATTCGCTTATAATATCATTGGTCCCATTCTGGACGACTCTCTTCTGCTATTGATTCTTCACATTCACGAAACCAAACAATTGAATGTTGCAAATTGTAAATGCATATATTGTACACTTCAAAATTTTCTTATCCCAGTATTCACCATTCTGAAGAAGTCTGTGCACAACCAGCTTATTCGAAAGCTCATAGGATTTTGCAAGATCAGCTTGCATCTAAATCCAGTTGTCCGAGTCAGAATTAGACTCCAGGGGCTAGAAATGAACTTCACCTACACCATATTTTGACATGGTCAATTTTTTCCATGTACACCATGTTCCCTTCTATGAGTTGATTAGGCCGCAACAAGAGATGCAGTGCTAGCTGTGGCAGGAGTAGCCTCTGACAGTCTTTTTCCAGTACCATATTTCTTGGTAATAAACCTGAAAGCCACATACTGCTTTGATAAAAAAGGAAATAGAAACAGGGAAACAAAAACTGTAGCACTGAAATACTACCCGCAAGAGGAAATCGAGATATAATTTAGACAAAATACGTAAGTGACAATCTGATCCGGTAACAAGTATTCAGGCATTGACAGAAGAATGTGCACCTGAAAAAATCCCGCCACAACAACTCGAAGACAAGCCAGTTAAGTCCATTATCGTCACTTCCAGCTCCTGAAGCCTTCACAGCTAAGGCCGACATTGCTCCAGCACTAGCACTGTCCATTCATCACAAATGTGGGTTACATTTGCAGTTTAACTTTAACTCCCGTTTTTTAAGAGAGAACAAAATAAATCTCACCAAATACTTTCAAGAATACTACCAACCCATTCCAGAAGTCAATGGGCACGAGATGCAACTACAGTGGCATAGGGTATCAGTGACTTATTTAGTAACCTCGCTGAATACAACAATATTTCTAATCAAATATGATGCTTTTGATAAGACATTTTTGGATGCAGCAGTCGCACAACTTAATCATGCCACCATATGCCTGATCATTAACGAGAAAGAAATGAGCAAGTTCGTGAGCAGCAAGAAGTGGACATGGAGCAAACCTTGAGGCACTCTTTTTCAGATCCTCGAACATTCTGCGTGGCGAGAGACAACCCATGGTCAGCCAGGGGGATATTTTGCAGGAGAAGTTAGCACCATACAAACTATCACCACTGGATTCCGACTGACTCTTGCTAGCTTTTAAGTTGCTTGTTTGACTCCGCGCCTCTAAAGCAAACTTCTGCAGCCTCTGAAGAGCCTCCTCTTCACCTCCCAATAGTCCATCTCCACCCACTGTTACACTTCCCTGCTACATAAGCAAGTTTCGTGTTAGTCCTCAGTACAAAAACATTTTCAGGAAAAGTTTACGCCGGGCTTGGACCCAAGGAACTACATCAACAGTTCAGAAAGGTTAGTCCACACGTAATACAATTAAAAATGCAGAAGAAAATCTATCCAGTTTTACATTCGATATGAGACGGTGAAGACCCTGCTCCAGCTCAACCAAAGTTTTTCTTTTCATTCAGGTGAAAAGATCAAAATCACAATAAGATAGCAATCCCTGAACCAAGAAAAATTACATCCCTGATCCTTGACCCATCTATAAATATGAGCAGCTCAGACGGTACAACGGACCTTTCGTAAGTTCGTAGCAGGATTCAAGCCAAGTACTTCAATAGAAGGAATGGATCCAGGCTTGACATTTCCACATGCTGGCAAGCCCTTCAGCTGCTGCGGTGCTTCAATTGTATCCCTGATAGCTACGTTCTGCACCTTCTCCCTGAATCCACCGTAATTGGAGGGCATGTCCTGAAGCTTGAATGGTAGGTCCTCAAGATGAAATAAGGTGCTACCCCAAAAGTACTTCGTCTCGATCCCTTTCTCTTGCAAAGCCGCGGCCACTTTCTCTTCTGCCTGAACATACATTTCATTCCAAACATCAACCCTAAATTTCATCCACAATACAATATATCTTACATCATAAAGAAAACACTTCATTGGTTAGTATGCGTTATCACTGCCAAAACGATGTCCTTTACCCAGATGGCGGGTCAGACAAGGTTCTACAACTAATATACACGAGACCGCTAGTCATGTTTCGCGAGGCCTTGCGGAGAGGGTATAAAGAGCCGAAGCACTCGCAAAACAATTACCTGCTCAGAGTGCTTCAAACTAGACTCATTCTAACAGCACTGCAATTTCCCGATACATAGCTTGTTTGCAAACTGACACATTTGAAACAGCCATGCATCTAAGATTATTCCGTACTCTTAGGGTTCTTAAACACCAAGTTGCCACAAGTTAGAGTTGAATAAACCAGCCGTAAAGAGCTACTTGTACTAATGCGCATTCCTCTTCTAAAGATCATCCACACCTTAACATCTAACTGCTTTCCTGCACACTGAGAACAAAGTTACTGCACCTGAAGCTCTTCATAAGTGACTTCTTGATGAACATAAAGAGCCTCAGCTCCCACGCTTTTGGCCAGATCCACTAGAACTGCTTCTGGACTACCAACCCTAACAATTAAATCTGAGCCTCTTTCCCTCAAACTTGATCGCAGGTTCGCAACACATTCCAAGAGGAAATTCGCCCGATAGGGACCGGTCTTATCAAACCCTGAAGATGACTTTCCATAGTCTTTTGGATCAAAGCAGTACACTGGTAGGATAGAGAGGGAATCCCTATTAGCTGAGACCAGGGCCTCATTATCATGCACACGCAGATCATTTCTGAACCAGACGATTGAAGCTCTGCGTAAACCACAGCCGTTCGCAGGATCCTTGAAGTCAGGGCCACGAAGTTTTTCATACTCTGGAAAGGCTGAGACATAATTTGCTGACTTCTTTGAAACGGTGATTGGAGTTGCTACAGGAATGTCAAGAGCCACCTGAGAAAAAAGTCATAAGTATCAGAGACATTACATCATGATTGCAGCTAACAGGGCTGTAATGAACTGTTTTAAATCTTTTTTTGCCCTGCTACAGGATTCTAATTCACTAACCTGAACCTTAGAAGATGCCATCACAGGCACGGGGCTATGGCTTTTCTTTTGTGAAGGAACTGCTCCTGATATGGCTGGACCAACTCCACCACGCTGTGACGCTTGTGGTACCACATTGTTCTTAGATAAAATTAGGCTGGAAGTAAGTACGGAGTTGAGAGCAAGGGACAGGGAAGCAGCTGAAGGGAGTGGATTCCCAAAAGACGCTGCATCTAGGCCACATAACAATCGCCTGGAAAGGTTAGAGCAGTAGAAAGTAACTTCTAACACATCAACATAAGCTCACGGCAGGAAAAAGAGTGCCAAGGATTGAAAACAATGCCAGTACATAAACGCGATATAGAAAAATTGAGGATTACACAAATTTTAAACTTTACAAAATTTAACAAAAACGCGGCAAGGAAATGCAATCATCTGAATCAACAGGATCGCTGAATCTCTTAGAACAAAAAAAAAAAAAAAAAAAAAAAAAAAAAAAAAAAAAATGAAAATTGACTGTAATTCTACACTTCCTTCCCATCAGCATGACCGATAGATACAAGTGACAGATGCAAAACATCAGCTGATGAGAATTTTTCTAGACGATTGCAAATAGCAAATGATTATGAATCCTCCTAGAAATTACCAGCTCTTTTACTTTGATATTTACTCAAAGGAAGTCATCCTCGCTCGCAAATAGGCGATAACAAGTCATGTGCAAAGCCCGATACATTCAGAACCCATCCTCAAGAATCTATACAGCATGTGTGATAATAGTAACCCTAAAAAGACAACTAAATGAACTACTCTTCACCTACAAGTATTGCGAGAGCTGTAGCATTCACGAGATGGCAAGCTGCTCTCCTGAGATGCAAGACTACCACGTCGACCGGTGGGCAGAATGTGAAAATCCTCTCTGCCACCTCATAGGCATAAATTACTTAATGCACATTGCTTCACCTTTACAAAAAATCAAGCAAAGCATTCCTCAATTTCAATTCATCACATACAAGAACGGCAGGCAATGCGAACATACAAAAAACTGAAAACATGGAAGAAAAAGACTTAAATCGGATCGCAATTGAACCAAGAAGTAAGAAGCAACCACGACTTCTACAATCGCCTCTCACAGCCGAACGCACACTGCACCTCACCAAGACTCCCACGACCAAGAACAACACCCGAACCTCCAAAATTCCGTACACCTTCACAAAAATAGCTCACAGCCTGGCCACTTTAGTGCCAAGATGACAAAAAAACAAACCGCGAATCCTCTACGCTAACACACCTGCAACCTCCTCCTTGCTGGCGACAGCTTCCTCTTCGTCATCTTCGACTTCGGCGCCAGTAGCGGCAGCACCGGAATTCGTCCAGGGAGGAGCCGGTGCATTCGTTCGGGATGCAGCCAGAGCGCGATGGAGGTTGCGGTCCAGGATAAGCTCCAAATCGTCGAGCCCGCCATAGCCCGCCATGGCTGACAGGAATGAGATAGATAGAACAAACACGGGCAGCAACGGGGGTGGGGTGTGAGGAAACGCAGGAGGCGATGGGCCAGATAACACACGGACGCTGCTACAACGAGGGCAATGATGTCCTTCGATACTCGCACGAAAAAGCTCCCTCCGTATGCCCACCCCCCAGAGGGAATCTGCGCCCCTCGCCTCCATCCGTTTCCTCGTTCCCCTCTTCTGTAACTTGATTGCGTTCCATGCGTTCCCTGTGTTCCCCACCACAGCTGCGTTATTGCTTCACCCCAAGTTCTCATTTTCTATCTGCAAGGCCAATACCACTTATAAAAGTATGGACACAAATTAAATTTATAAATGGTTAAGATTGTGTTTTTTTAATTATTATTAAATATGAGGATTTATAAATTAATTTTTAAATTATTAAAATATATATTATTTAGAAAAAAAAAACCATACATGATTTATGATGAAGTGATACATTTATTTTTTCTTTATTTGATTATTTTTTAAAATAAAATGAAGTAATATCACAAATATTAGACCCCCAGATCTCTCAAATCCTTTTATATTTATGAATCTTTATAAAAAAATCCTTTAGTCTTCCAATAATCAAATTGGGAGAAATTAATCTTATAAAGCTTTTTTTAGAAGCATTCTTTAATAACTTAATCAAAAAATATTATTACAATATTTTTTGAATTCCTCAATTGATAAGATAGTTTTAAATTTAAAATTAAAATAATTTATTAGCTTAAGTAGCAAGATACTAATTTTTTTGACTTTAAGCTTCTATCTTTTATATATGTATATGTATATATATATATATATATATATATATAAAGGAATAATAAAGCGACTCACTTTATCTTAAGCATCATTGCACCCTTGGAACTCCCATCCTTGTCCCTAGCCATTCCTCATTCCCAATTATTACTAAATATGGTAGGGGGGTAGGGGACATGGGGCTGGGAATAGAGACAACAATTGGAAACAAGAAAACGGCTAAGAATAGGAGAACGGCTAGGAACATGACATGTGGATTGATTTAGTAAATTTTTGGATTGCTTTATCATCTCTCTCTCCATACATATATATATATATATATATACATATTTACACACACACACACATATTGAGAGCTAAAATAAACCTCAACTAATTGGAAGTTTATTCTAACTCACAATAAGTGAATTAACTATATGAATTTAACATAAAGCTATTATTTAAATTCTAATCCACTTATTACTTGTCCTTCTTAAAACACCAAGTTATTAATCAAATCCTCTAACATTACTCACATTCACAATGATGATTCACTCCTTAACTTCATGCAAAACAATTCCTTCTTCTACTTCTAATTAGATAATTTGATTTAATCTTTTATTTAATTAAATTTTATTATTATTATTATTTTATTTTATTAGGTCATTTTTATTACATTTTTATTATTTTATTATTTTATCATATTTTTAAAAATGTATAAATTTTTACTTCATAATTAATTGATGGTAAAAGTAATTACTTAAATTATTATCCTTAATCCATAGTAATTGTAAATTTTTTTTAAGTTTGGGTTAAAATCAAAAGTTAAAAGTTAAAAGTAAAGTTTAAAAAGTAAAAGTAAAATTTAAAACAAAAATAAATTAAAAAGAAAAAATAAAGTAAAGGTTAAAAATAAAAAAAATAAAAAAAAGAAGGAGATTAAAAGTTAAAAATTAAATCCAAAAGTGAATGTAGAAGTTACAAGTTACTGAAAAAAATAAAATAAAAGAAAAGAAAAGAAAAAAATAAATAAAGAGAGGTACAAGCGGAAGCACCTTGACAACGCCTAAGGATTGAGGAAAGCACCCCCTTTACTTCAAAATTCGCCAAAAATCCAAATTAACTCCAAGTTTTAAAAAAAAAACTTGTTTTGGAAATTCAACTTTAAGGCGCTCCTGCTCCAAAATTTTCGTGGCATTATATTACTTGAGCTGCGAGAAATGCTTCTTCAAAGTTGGGTCATTGGGCATGCCACTGCAGCCGACCCCCCTTCACTCAAAACTTCGTTAAAAATTCGAATTTGCTTCAAATTTAATGAAATTTATACCAATGGAAGCTCAGCTTGAAGATTCTTGTATTTCCAAATTTTCAAAATGATCCCATTAATTGGCACTGAAGAATGCTTTTTCAAAATTGGATTATTGAAACTGCCAAGGCAGCTACCCCCTTGCACTCAAAAATTCACCAAAATTTTGGTTCAACTCCAAATTGAGAAGGCCTTAGCTTTTTGGAAAGCTAATTACAATGGCTATGTGATGAAAAAAATATTCACTTACAAATCATAAAAAATCACAGACTGATTGAGGAAAATCAGAGGCCCCTCAAACCCTTTTGACTATGGAAATGGTTAGTGACCACTAATTGCAAAGGGGAGCCATTTAAACCACAACAAGCACCACCCACGACACAAAATCAATGCTCATATGTTCCCAAAGTTCACAATGAGATCTAAGATTAAGAAAGAAGTAAAAAAAATTAAGATTAGGGTTAGGGTTGAGACCACACTTTGACATAGCTTCCCTTTCATCAAAAAGGAAAGAGAGAGAGAGAGGCTTGGGAAACCAAACCACTATTATACAATTGAGTGGTGGCTTGTGGAAGGGCGGCCACATCTCCACCCTTGACCTCTAAGATCCCTAATATAGATCTATAGTCTTTTTTCATCAAGAAGCTAATTTTGTGACCAAGGCTGATGGCTCTTGTAAGTGGAAAAAAAAAAAAAAAAAACGTTTTTTGGTAAATCTAACTTAATCATTGTGTTTAAAACACCTTTATATGCTAAGATTGACTACTCATATACATCAATCTATGCTCCTTTGCAACTTTTATGAAGATTTTTTTACTTACAAGGATTTAGGTAATATTTGTAAAATTCTTCAAAAAATGAGAATTTCATTTCTCTACTTGTACTTTGAAGGAAAGGGTGTTGATCTTGTTTTCTTCACTCCACATGGTGCATTTGATGCCTCCATTGTATATGAAGGCTTCCATAAATTTGAAGAATCAGTTTGCTGCTTGGATTTGTTGAATTTGAAAAACATCTTCAAACCCATCATAATTAAATCTCATTATATATATATATTTTTTTCTTTTCTTTTTTTTTTTTGACACCAAGACTACTTCCTTGTAATTCCTCTACTACTAGCTAACTAGAAAAATATTGTCTTTATAGTTTCTTCTTACTAAACTCTATCTTAAATTGCATATCCACTACTAGCAATCTATTTTCTATTTTTTCCTAAAATTCTAATATTAACTCATAAAATTTATGTTTTAAGCATAATAAGTGCATTTTTCTATTAAATATCAGAGTAAGTCAATTCAATGGCTCAGACATATATATATATATATATATATAATTAGTCTTTCAATATTTTTTAAATTTATTATTCATTTTTAAAACTAAAATTAATTTTATATTCTTCAAATAACACTTTAATTATTATTTCTAGTATAATTATTTTCTTTAAAATTTAGAATCATTTATAATTTAACTTTTAATCTCTATTCATGATAATGTAATTTTGTATTGTCTTTATTGCTGATTTTCTATTTAAAAATATTCAGTAAGTTGGATATTGTTGAATTGACAATATTTAAATATTTGAGAGATAATAATCTTGTTCATGATAAACATAAAAAGCATTAAGTCAAGAATAAGCTAAAAGTGGTTGTTATTAGTTAATAATAAATTGATTAAAATTACTTTTGGCATATCCTTTCAGATTTTTTGATCTGTGCAATTAAAACCAAATTGAATATAATTAGGTGGTAAAAGTTATTATGAAGAAATTGTGTAACAAAAACATAATATAGATTTTACATGAATCAGTTATATGTAAATTATTTTCATGCACATCTTTTTTTAAAATACATAATTAAAATAAAATTTCTAATATTATATGATAAAAAATTTAAAAAAAATAGCATAACATATTTATATATTTAGATTTTGAATATTCTTGCATCAATCATGAATAAAGGTAGCATTAGGATCTTTACTTTTGAAGTAACATTTTCTTGATATATAATAATATGAAATACAATAATGGTATATAAAGAAAAATAAATAAAAAGATAACAGAATAAACTAAACTAAACTTAGAGTTGCAGAATGATGTTTTATTTTCACCAAAGGCAAATTAAATAAAATACTTTAAAAAAAATACAAATGTATTAAGAAATAATATACACAAATAAAATTAAAAGTTTACATGTAATATATATATATATATATATATATACATAAAAGAAAAAAATAGAATAAATAAACCTCACTTGAATTTATAAAAATGTCATTGGAAACAAATCTGAAATTCAACTACATAAAAACTTATTATTGTAGTTTGTGGAGTTCTTTTTACTTTTTTATATTCTTTATTTTTAAATTTATTTAGATTCGTGATAGTTTTAGATAGTTTTATTTTTAAGATATTTAAATATAAAAATCAAACTTATAAAATTTTAAAGCACTTATAAAAGCATAAAAAAAAAATTAAATACATAAAAGCTTTTATAAGTTAAGCCTATGGGTATTATTTAAAATCAACTTAATTTACAAGTTTTTTATATTTAAAATTATCTTAATATGTAAGCAGTAATAAAAAATAAAAATAAAAATAAAAACATTTATATATAACACTTAAGCCTACGGATTTTATTGTTTTTATTGGATATAGGAAATTATAAATTATTTTAGAAGTTATTAAAATATTTTGCATGCAAAAAAAAACCAATACATGATTTATAATAAAGTAATAAGTTTATTTTTCCTTTATTCAAATATATTCTCAAAAAAATAATAAAAAAATATCAGACTTCCAAGACCTCCAAGACCTTGAAAAAGAATTAGACCTCCAAATCTTCCAAATCCTTTTAATTTTATTTTTTATTTTTTATAAAACTTTCCTTTAGTCTTCTAATAATAAAATTAAAAGCCAATTATTCTTATAAAGCTTTTTTTAGAAGCATTCTTTGATAACTTAGTCAAAAAATATTATCTTAACTGATAAGATAGTTTTAAATATGAAATTAAAATAAATTATAAGCTTATGTAGCAAATAACTAAAACATTTATTCTAAACTTTTATCTTTTGTATATACAAAGTTATATCTATATTTAGTATTTTTAAATATATATATATATATTAAATTTATTTTTATATTTTTATAAAAAAAATATTTATTTATTTCTAATAAAATTATCTTATTTAAAGAGTA